GCACTGAAGGGCCAGTGAAATGGGAAGGTAACTATATTCCTTTTCTACTACTGCAGGAACAAATTCCAAACAGCAACTTAATACAGTTCAAATTTGTTATCTCATAGTTCTGTGAGCCAGAAGTTCAGGTTGACTCGGCTGGTTTTCTGCTTACAGTCTTGCAAAGGCTGAAACCACGATGTAGCAGGACAAGCTCTTATGGGAAGATTCTGGGGAAAATCCACTTCTTCAATGTGGCCAGATCTAGTCCCTTACAGTTGTATTTGGGTTGTTATGGGTTGGACTGTGTCCCCTCCAAAGAGATATGTTGAAGTCCTGAGCCCCCAAATATTTCAGAATGTGACTTGAATTGGATGTAGGGTCTTACAGAGTTAAAATGAGGTCATTCAGGTGGGCCCTGATCCAGTATGTCTGGTGTCCTTATAAAAAGGAAAGATATGGGCACAGAGACAGACACACAGAGGGAAGATAATGTGAAGACACACAGGAGAAGATGGCCCTGTGACTGGAGTGATGTGTCTACGAGCCAAGAATACCGAGGACTGTAGTACTCCGGCAATACCCGCAGCTAGAAGAGGAAGAAGGGCTCCCCCAGAGCCTTCAGAGAAAGCACAGCCCTGATGATGCCTTGATTTCGGATTTTCAGCCTGAAGAACCATGAGACGATGAGTTTATGTTTTTTAAGCCACTTGTTTTTGATGTTTTGTTGTGGTGGCCCTGGGAAACTAACACAAGGGTCTTAACCTTAATTACAGCTGCAATGTCCCTTTGCTGTGTGAAGAAACACTCACAGGTGTCCAGGGGATTTGGACACAGACGTCTTTGAGGGGGGCAATTGCTGTGCCTACCAAACTCATCCAGTGGCGATCAGTCCTCACGCTTCAGCAGGCTTTCTTATCAGATTCACTGGGCCTGCTGAGGCCAGAGCGAAAGGCAAGGCCTGGGAACCTGGGAGAAGGGGAAGAGGAGGCGAAGGGGCCAGGAAAATGGCCCAGAGCAGAAGTCAAGTGGCAAAGAGAGTTGATATGATCCTAATTTGTTATAAACAACACATACGTGGCTAACAGGGAAGAGTAGGCACCTGGCAGCCACATTTCCACCCCTTTGCACCTTATATGTCTCACTTTCCTCACTCTTTGAATGGGGATTATAATAATATCTAACTTCATAGACACATAAGAACTAAACGAGGTAATAAAAATAAAGAACACTTCCCACTTATTATAGAGCTTAGCATTTGGCAAGCATTCAGTAAAATTTAGCCATCGGAGTTACATATCTAATATACAGATTTTAATTATGTACATATAAAACACTGTACGTACACATACACAGAAATGTCCCCTACACACCTTCTCACTCTCATCAGCCTTAATCCCCAGCCCCAGGCCCTCAGCCCCGACAGCTGTACCCCAGAGGTGAAACTCAATCCTCTGTGACTTGCCTCTTTTATGCAGCCAGAGGCAACAGCGACTCCAGCAAGTCCCCCCACTGCTGTGAGCAACTCCTTGAGGAGCTGTATTCTGAAAGGCTCTTTGTTGCTAGGCAGAATGCTTTTGGGGACCATTTAAAAAACACTCTCTGCAGACATTTCCACCCATTCCCAGGGGTCCCCTCTAGCCCAGGTGTTGCACATTCCTTCAGTCTCCCCTCCAGTTCAATCAATTCACATACAGAAATTATTGAGCAAGGTGATGCCGGAGGCCAAGGTAAAGGTAGAGCATGGTGATGCACTGCACAGTCATGGCCTTTAACAAAGACCTGTTCCAACAAATTTAAATGATTTTGTTTCACAGCATTGCACAGGGATTCAAAGTACAGACACATCAGACTTGATACAAGTCTGAACTACAGCAGCTACGAGCTGTGTAACCTTCAACCCCAGGTTTTAAGCTCTTTGAGCCTCAGTTTCTTCACCTGTCAAATGGAGATCCTCTTGTCTCAGGTTTTAACATGAAGACTGACTCAATTATACATGTAAATCTCCCAGCCCCTAGAGGAAATGTCCAATAAATGTTCGTTGTTGTTCATGTCATCATTATTATTAGAAAGGCAGGCACAGATCCTACTGCCTAGGTATTTGGGTTCTAGACGGTAGCTAAGCAGAGGCACTTGAAAGGGCTTGGCTACAGGGTAAAAGGCATTTGGAAACTGAGGGCTAAAAGTAGGAAAAGAGCTAGTTAGTTGCTTTACAGGAGAGGTTAGAAGGGGGAGGCTATCCAGCTCAGCCTGGCTCCTTACCCTTTCACCTCTCCTCCTAAAAGCCTCTCCCCCAGCTCCAGAATGATCCCTACCAGACAGAAGGCATGAATCAGCTCAGGCTCCACCCTGCAGCTACTGAGGTATGAACTCCAGCATGACAGCCAGGGCCCCACCTTGCTCCCAGTCCCTCATGTGGGTAATGTTCTGGTATCTTGCTCTTACCCGACTGGATCTTCTCCTAGGAGGCCCTGCCCTGGATTCCCAGGGGCCCCTTTGTAGTACTCTGTCCACCAACTGAGGGAGGTTTTGGGAGTTTGGGGGTTGGGGTAGGGGGCGCGCCTGTGATTTTGGAAACACTGTGAAGCCCTTTGCGTCCCTGGATTCCAGTCTCCTATGACTGCTGGCTGGGTACCCCTGGACACCATGCCACATCTTTCCACCAGGTTTTGCTTCTCTGTCTCCCATATGCCTGGTCTAGGCCAGATTCGAGGCCACTAGGAACCCTGGGTTCCAAGAGAGGGCAGAGAGGATCGTGGCTGGAGTGGCCAAAGAAGGAGGCTCAGAGGAAAGAGAAGCCAGCTGTGAACTGGGCTGACTGCAGGAGGGGAGGGCATACCAATGACACCCAGTTTATAAGAGGGTCTCTGGGCATATGCTGAGAAATACTCATGTCTGAGATTGGAGGGGAAAAGGGAGTTAGAAACAGACTGTAATAAACCCTGGATGCCAAGCTTGATCTCTCCCAAAAAGCTCCCAGGAGGCTTAGCCCGAGACGAAGGGAGTGGGCGAGCAGAGAGTTCACCAAGGCAGACTGCTAGAGTGCTCCACTTCCCATCCAAACCAGACAGCTCGGTATCCCTAACCACACTACCCTCAAACCCCAGGGCTGGTAGGAATAAACACCAAGCCCCTTTCACATATGCCACACACACCACATGAGTTACACTTCCTCAAAGAGCACTTCCTCAAAGTTGTCTCAAACCTCATTGCCTTTGGACTTGGAGTTTCCTCTGCCAGGAATATCTTTTCTCTGCTCTTCTGCCTTCAAGGTCTAACTTCAAAGGCTCCTCCTCTAGAGAAGCCTTGCCTGTCTCTCCCACAGAGAATCCTCTATGCTCTCCTCTGGGTTCTCGCAGAACTCTTAGTGCCCCTCTATTACAATATTTACTGCACCGCCTTGTGATTATTTTCCTGACTATTATGAATCTCTCTTTATTGCTGCATTGCCAGCACCTTAAGAACAGGGGTCCTGTATTATTCATTCCATAACAACACCTGGGACACTCAATAAATGCTTGTTGTATTATTAATACCACCTTTTATCAAATGCCTACTACATACCAAGGACTACACTAAGTATATGAGATAAAAAATCTTGTTTAATCCTCATATAACTCTGCAAGCTAAGTATTGCTTACTCCATTTTACAGATAAGGAAACCATCCTTTGGCGGACCTCAGGTAAATGTGAGATGAAAGCATGAATCACCAAGAGCAGGTAGACTCCAGCTCTCTCCAACCCAAGCATGCACATACAACTCTGGGAATAATTATACTGTGTCCTTAGGCAGCCTAAGTAGATGTTTACTTCCAGTTACTGAAGTCTACTCAGTTTGAGTCAGTCCAATCGAAAAGCTGCTCTTGAATAAACTTCGGGGGCATCTGTTACTCCATAGAGGAGCAGCTTCTCATTCGGACAGCCCCAGAGCAAGGTTGATTAGCCCTTTCCAGAGCCAGTGTACTAAATTCTCCCTGAATCTTATTTTTTCTTCAGCAAAAAAGAGCTTTAATGGTGATCTATCTAAAAGGCAATGTGCCTTCAAGATAAAAAGTCAAAGAGAAGTGGCCCAGTGGGTAGATGACCTGAGGAAAGAGCTGGGTGGGATTTAATCACTGTAGCCCTGGAAACTGAGAGTAGATGGGAGGTAATGAGGGGAGAACCACAAAAGCACGCACAGCTGCCGAGTGCTTCACATTCATTCTCTCTCCACACATCCCCTCCCTTTCGCCTCTTCAAAGAAGCACCATCTTTGCTAACCTACTAATCTCAAATTCAGGGTCCTGTCTCAGCGCTGGTCCTCCTCATCCTCTCTCCCTTGATGGAAAGTCCCACCTCTGCCTCCAGCCCCAACTCCAATCCCTTTAGCTTGTATGAACCTTGTCTGTGCTGCTGCTTTCTCTTTTCTGCTCCTTTGAAGAGTGTGTGCTCTGGTCCACGTCACTCACCTCCTGCTGTCCTTTCTTCCTCTGCCAACGTCTTTAGTCTGGGCCCTGCCCTCAGCCTCTGTCTCATTTGACTGAACGTTTGCTCTCCAGAGCTCTTAGCCAAGCGCTTGTAAGACTGGCTGATCCTTATCAGCAACGCCCCAGAACACCTGCAGATCTTCACATTAACGGTAATGGTGGTCAGGGAAGCAGAATCCAGGTTCTGCAGCCAGTCTCCCAAACTCATTTAGCAAACGACCCCCTGCAGAGGTCTATGGCAGCAATGCATTTGGGATTCTTGTCCCAGGCCCTTTCAGTGCCCACCCCAAATTAGAGGAGGATGGGAGGAGTGGCAAGAGGATACATAAAAAAGATCATAAAAGGCAGGACTGAACTGTGTAGACTTACTAAATGTGCACTTTTCTGTATGTATATTCTAGTTTGCAAACACGGGTTTTTAAAGACCTCAAAAAAAAATAAGAAAAAGCAAACAGCTGAGAAATCCATGACCTAGGTCAGCAGCCCTGGATCACTGAAGTAAGAGAGTGATACAGAAATATTATTTCATTTTCCTAACCCTATTAATGCCCACAGGAAGACTGATCAGAAGTGCGACAAACCACAGAGGTGCCAGAAGAGCTCGGGAGCACCTGCCAGTGTTTCCTGGGCTGAGGAAAGCTCACAGCAGCCAGACACAGCTGATTACAGCAAATCACATCCTAACTTTGTGGGGCCACGTCTTTTTCCCCTCTGATGTATGATCACTTAATTTCCTCCTTGATTGCTTTTCAAAAGCAATCAAAATTAATGTGGACCCACAAAGGGCAAGGCTATGTGTGAATAATTAGTGCAAGATAATAAATGCAAATGGAGAAAGATACAAAACTGGACTAAGAACTAATGTTCCAGGCTCCTGGCCTACTCACTCTCTTCTTATTGGGAGTTCTTTTTACACGATTAAAGAAAGGGTTTGAGGAAACTTGAGAAAGGGTGGTATCTCTAAATAGGCCATTGGGTTCATTGAAGGATGGCAGTAGGAAAAAACAGAAGCTGAAAGAATCAGACCAGCGACTGCTACAGGATTTTTTCCTTTTTTGTAGGTTCTGCTGGAGATAAAACTTTGTCCAAATTTCTTCCAGTTAGACAGGAAATATCATCACAGTCAAGGACTCACCATCACTTAATCTCACCCATGCAGGATTTCCTCCCACAAAGCTTTAGTTTCAGCAAATGATTTTTTTAACACTTTTTTTTGGTATCATTAATATATAATCACATGAGCAACATTGTGGCTAGATTCCCCCCATCATCAAGTCCCCACCACATACCCCATTACAGTCACTGCCCATCAGCATACTAAGATGCTATAGAGTCACTAGTTGTCTTCTCTGTGCTACACAGCCTTCCCCGTGCTCCACCCCCACGTTATGTGTGCTAATCGTAATACCCTTTATTCCCCTTATCCCTCCCTTCCCACCCACTATCCCCAGTCCCTTTCCCTTTGGCAACTGTTAGTCCATTCTTGGGTTCTGTGAGTCAGCTGCTGTTTTGTTCCTTCAGTTTTTGCTTTGTTGTTATACTCCACATATGAGTGAAATCATTTGGTACCTGTCTTTCTCCGTCTGGCTTATTTCACTGAGCATAATACCCTCTAGCTCCATCCATGTTGTTGCAAATGGTAGGATTTGTTTTCTTCTTATGGCTGAGTAATATTCCATTGTGTGTATGTACCACCTCTTCTTTATCCATTCATCTACTTGCTTCCATTTCTTGGCTATTTTCAATAGTGCTGCGATAAACATAGGGGTGCATATGTCTTTTTCAAACTGGGCTCCTGCATTCTTAGGGTAAATTCCTAAGAGTGGAATTCCTGGGTCAAATGGCATTTCTACTTTGAGTTTTTGAGGAACCTCCATACTGCTTTCCACAATGGTTGAACTAATTTACATTCCCACCAGCAGTGTAGGAGGGTGCCCCTTTCTCTGCATCCTCTCCAGCATTTGTTGTTCCTACTCTTTTCTATGTTGGCCACCCTAACTGATGTGAGGCGATAGCTCATTGTGGTTTTAATTTTCATTTCCCTGATAATTAGCGATGTGGAGCATCTTTTCATGTGCCTGTTGGCCATCTGAATTTCTTTTTTGGAGAAGTGTCTGTTCATATCCTCTGCCCATTTTTTAATAGGGTTCCTTGCTTTTTGGGCGTTGAGGCATGTGAGCTCTTTATATATTTTGGATGTTAACCCCTTGTCAGATATGTCATTTACAAATATATTCTTCCATACTGTAGGATGCCTTTTTGTTCTGCTGATGGTGTCCTTTGCTGCACAGAAGCTTTTTAGCATGATATAGTCCCATTTGTCCAATTTTTATTTTGTTTCCCTTGCCCAAAGAGATACGTTCAGGAAAAAGTCGCTCATGTTTATATTCAAGAGATTTTTGCCTATATTTTCTTCTAAGAGTTTTATGGTTTCATGACTTACATTCAGGTCTTTGATCCATTTTGAGTTTACTTTTGTGTAGGGGGTTAGACAGTGATCCAGTTTCATTCTCTTGCATGTAGCTGTCCAGTTTTGCCAGCACCAGCTATTGAAGAGGCTGTCATTTCCCCATTGTATATTCATGGCTCCTTTATCATATATTAATTGACCGTATATGCTTGGGTTTATATCTGGGCTCTCTACTGTTCCCGTAGTCTATGGTTCTGTTCTTGTGCCAGTACTAAATTGTCTTGATTACTCTGGCTTTCTAGTAGAGCTTGAAGTCAGGGAGCATAATCCTCCCTGCTTTATTCTTCCTTCTCTGGATTGCTTTGGCTATTCAGGGTCTTTTGTAGTTCCATATGAATTTTAGAAGTATTTGCTCTAGTTCATTGAAGAAAGCAGTTGGCATTTTGATAGGAATTGCATTGAATCTGTAGATTGCTTTAGGCAGGGTGGCCATTTTGACAATATTAATTCTTCCTATTCATGAGCACAGGATGTATTTCCATTTATTGGTATCTTCTTTCATTTCTCTCATGAGTGTCTTGTAGTTTTCGGAGTATAGGTCTTTCAGTTTCAGCCAATCTTGTCTTCTTTCTGTCCTAAGACCAAATGCTCCCCATCCCCTAACCTTTACTCCTGCTTTTGCTCCTCCCTGGAATGCCCCCACTACTCCCTACCCCTTTACATCTTATACATCTTTAAGAGCCCTTCTCAAGGCCTTCTCTGACACTCCGCCCTTTTTGGAAGTCTCCTACTAATGCCAGGGTATATGGCAGAAATTGCAAGGACCCACCAACATCTGCATTTGTTCCCTCTTTCCTGGGCACACAGCTAAACTACATTTCCCAGTCTTCCTTGCAGTCAGATGTGGCCACAGGCCTGAGTTCTAGCCAATAAATGTTGAACAGAGTTGGGCCTGCCCCTCCCAGGCCTAGCCCATAATTCTCTGGTGTGGTCCTCAAGTTTCCTTCCCTGTCTATGGTTGAACGGAAAGGATTCCATAGACCTTGAGGAGAGGCTGAGTCACAGGATGGAAGAAGCCTGGGTCTCTGTGCAGACTTCACTACCAATTTAAAATGAGTTTGAAATAAACTTTTACTGTGATAAGCCACTGAATTTTTGAGATTTATTTGCCACAGCAGCTAACTTTAGATAATTTTAACTAATACAGGATGGCATACAGATTTTATTGCACGTGCCAACTCTGACCTACAGGAGTGTCTGCCTGGAAGTCTATGCTGAGTACTGTTAGGCAGCATCTGAGCTTACTAGGAAAGACTGTCATAGTTGATTAGTTATGTCTGCCATGAGCAAAGTTTTTTTTTTAAGTGTCAATGATGCTATGTTTTCCTATCTCTGATTTATAATGTACGTTTTAGAACTTAATTTAGCAACTGATTGTATACAAACTTGTACCATTTTTCACGCCTCTGTGTGCCTCAATCCTACGTCCCCATAAAGTTAGAAAAGTCCCTTGAGAGCAGAGGCCAAACCTAAAATTTGCCTAAAATAAGATATATAAATGCAAATACTTATTTAGTTGACTTAAAAAACTGAATTCAAAGGTAGCAATAAAGTATGTTCAGACCTTATAGGAGTTCCTTTAATATTATGCAGAGAAAAATGAGTTTCAGGAAATGTTGCAGCCAATACAGCAACCCCATGCCTATCCTCAGTTAAATGATTTTCAGTGAGTCCCTTCTGGGAGTCTGTTTTTATTTATTGTCATTCTTAATGGGAAGAGTTATATGGGCAAGAGATAGACTATCTATAGAGCCTGAAAACAGGGCTCCTCATGCTCTTATTTAGATGACTTTATCAGAGCTAGAACACCATCTAGGCCAGGGACAGAAAACAGATTTCAACTCAGGTGCCATCTAATCAACTTATAATGGCTGCCTGGAGGGTTGTATTCAGAAGATTTTGAGATCATATCTGAGACCAACAGCAAATGAAGGAGAAAATCCAGAAGTTCTAGCCCCTTCATATATCTATCATTCCTAATCTAATCCCCCCTCATCATTTTACTATGACCAAATTAAGTCCCAGAAGAGTTGATTTATCCAATGTCACAGAATAAATTGGTGGAAGAACCAAGCTCAAACCTAAAGCTCCCTCCATTTCCTGTTTTCCTATTATTCCAGGTTTTAAGCTAGGAGATGGACCTTAGAGTAGAATTTGAAGATACGGGTAATTGTAATACTGGTAACCATTTACTAGTGCTTCCTATGTGCCAAGCACTGTTCTAGGTGCTTTCCATGTATGATCTCATTTAGTCCTGCCAGGACAATGAGAAGGGTGCTATAATCATCCTCACTATACAGATGAAACTGATACATGAAAAGGTTAAGTAACCTTCCCAAGATCCCAGGACCAGAAAGTGTCAAGGAAGGGATGTAAACACAGAGAAGGAAAAACAGAGAAAAGAACACAACTGGATTTAGAGACATCCTCACATAATCAACGGAAGATTCTGGTAACTTCACCAACACATACAAAGTCAACTGACATTGGAAAAATACCCCCAGGAAGCCCTGGTGATCTTTTCAAAAGCCCTAAAGGCTGGAGGATAAGGAGTGGAGCCTGGGTTATGGGGGCAGGGAGCAGCAGTGAGTGATTTACAAGACAGGAGATGAGAACAGGTGAGTCAGCAGGACTCAGGTAGGACACTGGGCTCTTGACAGGTACATACAGGTCTCACCATGATCTCAGGCATGACAGGTTGGCCCCAAAAGGCCCTTCCTGCTCAAAAGACTCCTTCAAACTAAAAATGTGGTATAATGGAATAGCACCAGCTGGCTCTGACCCCAGGGCTTGCTGTTTCAGAACAGAAAGAGGTGCCCATCAATGTATTTATAGGCTTAAAGCTGGCATGCAGTTAAGCTACCTGGGGTTGCCCGACATCTGTTTCAGTGCACATTTCCCCCATTTTTTTGTTTCACTGGGTTTTAATCAGCCAGCAAATCCAAACTGAAATTATGATTTCACACATACCCAAGGCCAAGTGACCAAAAAAAAAAAAAAAAATACAGAAGCCGCATGACCAAAACAGAACTTGGGGCCAGCTGCTCAGCAAGGGCAGCCTCCTGGGAACAACCCCTGCCTCGGATCAAAGGAGAGTCAAGTGGTGTGTTACATCTGAGGTCTGGGACTCTGGAGGAAGCAGAGCCCACAGCCTTGAGCCTGGCCCAGGCAGTGTGCGGCCACTCCCCCTTGTTTCATGACCTTGGTCTGAAAACCTCTTTCCTCCCCTCCCTGAGCAAAATCCTCAGGTCCTTCAATGCCTGATGCAACTGTCAACTTCTTGGGGAAGTTTTCCCCCACTCCATCCCAATCCCATTTCTGCTTCCTGCAAGAACACTGCCACACCTTTCCTTCGTAGTGCTTTACCACAC